CTCCCCCATGGGGGAGTTCTTGGTCCCCCACGTAGGGTGAGGACTGGGGAATTCGGGGCACATCCGTGCTGAATTAATCTTTACATAGCAGGGGTAGTCGTTGTACTTTGCCAAAGTCCACATTTCTCAGTCAAGGGCCAGACTCCAGAGACAATAACAACAATGAAATAAGTAAAGAGATTTCAGGGTCCGGGCAAACGCATCTGGCGGTCCGGATTTGCCCGGCGTCCCCTGTTCTAGTGGGACTGACCAGTCAGTGACATCCTAGGTCAGTGAGAAGCAGATCTCAAGGACAGGGACGGAGTACATGAAGAACTGGGCGGATGGCAGGGACTGGAGAGACATGCGAGAAGGCAGGACAGGAAAGAAGTGACAGTTCGTGTCGCTGTAAATAAGGAAGGGGCCATGTTTTAATGCTTGGTAATAATTATCATTTTTGCATTTCTTTACAATTGTTCTGTTTGTGATGTTGTGTGTAAAGCAGCTAACCAGCGATGGTGCCTTGGGTGACGTTAAACACATTGCAGGCGGTCCCTGTGCCGTTCAGGGTTACCGAGTGAGGAGTGTACGAATGAGCGATACCCGCACGACTTGTTTAAAACTCTGATGATCTGATCTGACCCCGGTCCCAGTTCAATTGGATACGTGGGGTCCCGCTGAAATCGTTGTGAATGACGGGGTACGGGACAGAGCTACACAGACCCTGCAGCCCCCCGGAGGGGAGGTCAGGTCATTAGCCCAGGGACCTGATGGGACAGTTGGGTTTATAACTTCGGCCTGCGTGGGAAGTAACCACGAAAAGTCCGTCAGGTTATCCTGAGTCACGGATGATGTTACAGGCAGGTGACAAAACCCAGACCGAGCCTGAATTAGTTCAGCCGAAGAGGCCGATTGCTACGGCGCTGGGACTGTGTGTGTTAAGGTCTGAACTTCATAAATAGGAAAACGGGGGAACGAAGTAACTTACACTAAGTTTGTCAGTATGGAAATAAATTTAATTGCTGAACATAACGATGAGGGGCTGGGCCGGGCCGCCCACCTCCCCCTTTGCAGGGCCTTAAAGAAAGAGACTTTGGGGGGAAAACCGAAACAACCAGATGGGTCTCCTGGAGCGAGTTTCCCCACCCTGGCTGCCACCCCCGTCTCCTGGGATCTCATCCTGAGAAATGTCCACCCAGCCCGGGCCAGAGAGCGGGACCCACAGGCCACGGCCACCCCCAGCTCCAGCCAAAGCCCAGACAACACCTGGGCTGAACAGATCAGACGTTTGGCTCCAGCCCGTCTCAGCTCCCTTCTCCTGTCCCGTCACTGCCAGCGCTGATGCACCCAGGAGACGCTCAGACAAAGGGCCTTTCCTCTCTCCGGCGGACGGGAACAGGACCGCGGACACTAAAAGGGTAAGCCTGGCTGGCTTCGTACTTCACACTGCAGAGGCTTTACCGGCTCGGCCTTTGCTGCGTCGTTACGAAACGGTTCCCAGGCTGCGGAACGGTGTGTGCCCTGGCGCTGAGCGGGCAGCGGTCTCTGCACCCCAACGCCGGCCCGTGTTTAACACTGTGTAACGGTGGACAGCGGCTGGGTTATGTTAACACCTCCGGCCCATTCACGCCGTCCCCCTACGCCGGGCTGGCAGGACGGAAGAGCTGGTCAGGAATGCCGGGGGCTGCCGGGCCGGAGGAGTCCCCGATCGGCCACACCCGACGCCAGCGAGCGGGCGGCTGGCTAGAGCGCCCCAGAGACCGGCCGGGGTCAGTCCCCCGCGTGCAGCCGCTGGTGCACCAGCAGGTTGGCTCTCTGGCTGAAACGCTTGCCGCAGCCGGGGCACTGGTGGGGGCGCTCGCCCGTGTGGGTGCGCTGGTGGGTCAGCAGGTTGGCGCGCTGGTTGAAGCTCTTGGGGCAGCGGGGGCAGCGGAAGGGGCGCTCGCCCGTGTGCAGCACCTGGTGGGTGAGCAGGTTGGAGCTGCGGTTGAAGCTCTTGCCGCACTCCAGGCAGCGGTAGGGGCGCTCGCCCACGTGGATGCGCCGGTGCCGGTTGAGGGTGGAGCTCTGGGTGAAGCGCTTGCCGCACTCGCCGCAGGCGAAGGGGCGCTCGGCCGTGTGCACCCGGCGGTGGTTGACCAGCGTGGAGCGCACGCTGAAGCGCTCGCCGCAGTCCGGGCACTGGTGGGGGCGCTCGCCCGTGTGGGTGCGCCGGTGCTGCGCCACGTCCGAGTTGGTGCGGAAGCCCTTGCCGCAGTCGGGGCACTTGCAGGGGCGCTCGGCGGTGTGGGTGCGCTGGTGGGCCAGGCGGTGCGAGCTGCGGCGGAAGCGCTTGCCGCACTCGGGGCAGGGGTAGGGGGCCTCGGCCGTGTGGCTGCGCTGGTGGATGATGAGCTCCGAGCTCTGGCGGAAGCGCTTGCCGCACTCGGCGCAGTGGAAGGGCTCCTCGCCCGTGTGGAGCCGGCGGTGGCTCACCAGGTCCGAGTTCTGCCGGTAGCTCTTGCCGCAGTCCGCGCACTGGTACGGCCGCTCCCCCGTGTGCACCGTCTGGTGCCGGATGAAGTGCGAGCTCTGCGTGAAGCTTTTCCCGCACTCCGGGCAGGTGTAGAGCCGCCCTGGCCGGGCCGTGGCCTCGCTCGGGTCCATTGTGTCGCCCCCGCGGGGGGTGGGTTCATCCCCACTCTCCTCCGTGGGGTTCCCCTGCTGCCCCTCGGAGGCTTTCCCCGGCTCCGGACTCTGGGCAATGTCCCCTCCAGCTCCTCCTGGCAGCGTCTCATTCGCCACCCCTGGCTGAGTCACCTCCTCCTCGTTCCCACGCGCTGAAAGAAAGAGAGAATTCAGACACCCGTCACGCCCTGCGCTGGACTCCTCAGGTCAGGGGAACAAACCCGAGGTGTAAAAAATCCCCTGGCTGCTGGCACTGCCCCTGGTGGGAGGAGAGGCCGGGAACTCCCAGAGGATTCAAGCTCTCATTTCTGGCCCTTCTTGTTGGGAGGCTGATTTTGTAGGGAGCCCGATGAGGCCGCACTGCCTTCCTGAGTCTGCAGACAGGCAGCTCTGGTGCTGCTCAGAGATCCCCAGCAGCAGGAAACTGAGAAGACACTGGTCATTTTCAGGCTGTTTCCTGTGGGCTCCTGTGACACTGACAAGAGTCAGGTCGATTTCACTCTGGCGGCCTGCAGGGGCTCTGAGCACCAGCAGAGGGAGCACTTGGGGCTATTCCGGAGGGGGGGGGTGTAGATTGGGTACACTAGGATCCATGGGTGGATGGACAGATAGTGCAGGGTCAGGGACAAGACCGGACCCGTCTCCTTTGCTGCAGCGAGTGGCCGCCAGGTTCCCCACACCCCTAACTGGAGCGTTGCAGGAGTCCCCGCGGTTCAGCTTCACGCACAGATGTCAGCACTTTCGAAATGTACTTAGAAAACGACCCTGCAAGTCCCAGGACGTCGGCTGGGCGGGCGTGGGAACGATCCGTGAAAGTGACCGCGCTGCCGGGTACCGGGCACAGCCGGCCAGAGACGCTGGGTGACTAGTCAGCATCAGCGCGACCCCCGTGCGTCACCCCAGGGGAATTACCCGTGTGATGGGCGCTGAGGGGCAGCGCGGTCTGGTGGGTCAGACTCACAGAGCTTCCGGCCAGAACAGACCCGGACAAAGATCCCTTTAGTAGCTGCTATTTCCCCCCTCGCAGGGACTAAAACACCACAATCAAGTCACTCCTCCGCCTTTGGAGTCCTGGGCTCTATTCCCAGCTTCACCACCGGCTGCTATGTCCTCTCCCTGGGCTTCTGTTTGTCCTCACACCCCTCCCCTCACTGGCCGTTCACACGGCCGGGTCCGCGGGGCAGGGACTGTCTCTCGCTAGGTGTATGTCCAGCTCCGAGCACATGGGCTCCTGAGCTCAGTCCGGGCTAGATGCTCACGTCACACAAATCATTATTCTTCTTCACAAGGTACAACATGAAAAAAGCAAGGAACGTAATGAGGTCACAATCTGGGCTGAGGCCTGGGGAGGCCGGGAGGCCTTTGCAGTGATTATATTACTGCTCTGGGCCTCCCTCGCAGCTGTTCACCTGGAGGTCGCAAAGCACTGTGCAAAGATGGTTCACGGTGCATGATCTGCCTAACAACAGGGAAACCGAGGCACAGAAATGGGAAAGGAGGCGGCGGAGCTGGGAACCCAGGTCATAAGAGCCAACAAAGAATTGACCGTAAGGTGGTAGATATTGGTTGTTGTGGTGAGATTTCGTGTGCGCACACTCACCACCTGAGACACTGCGTGTGAGTCCGTGTCCCCACTGCCTTGCACTAGGCACGTAACCACACCTCTGTAAATGTTGTGTGTGGAGGGGGACGGCGGCCTGGAGTTTAAACTAATCTGGTGAGCTGCTTCGCCCTCAATACAGAATTAACACCCCAGCCGCATTTACTCCCCCGATCCTGAAATCCCCTCCCCACGCGCTGGCGGCAGGGGCACCACCGGGCGAGTCACTGACGGATGAGCGAAGGAACCGCATTTCCTAACCGCTGGCCCCAGCCGGTTTGCTTCATGCCGGCGGCAGCATCTGCCCAGTCAGCGTCTCTGCGGCCCCTGCACAATCAGCTGCCCCGTTGTGTTGTGTGGGTCTCTCACAGGGCAGTAGGGCAGAGAAAAACATTTACAAACATAAAATGGGGTTGAGGAAAAGGCCGGGGGCGGGGCAGCCCCTGGAAGGCCTGTAAAGCCCCTTCTGTTACTGCCCAGGATGTAAAGACCCCAGGAAGCCAGGGGTGAATTTCTGAGCCGGTTTAAGCGATTCCTCACCTGTGCGGGCGTCTCTCGGGGTCTCCTCAGCGCCCCAGGGGTCTGGGACCCCCGGCTCTGCCCCTCGCTCCATCCGGGAGAGCGCGTCCGGTCCGGGGATCAGAAATCCTGCTCGGGGACAGGGACAGGCGAGATCAGGGCGTGCGATGCACCAGGAGAATAGAGAGGAGTCGCATCTGACGCGGGGGTTAGGTTCTAAAGTCAGCGTGTGAGGCGAAAATCGCGTCGAGTCAAATTCCCATTGAGTGGAATGGCGGG